ATACTGACCAGTTTTCGCTTATTTGTTCAGCCCTAATAAGTAGGTAGTTGCAGCTACAATATTTATCAAACCCTCGGTAGGTGAGAAGGGGGAAATAGTTAAGTGAATAGGAAATTTAATTGTATTTAAAACGACTGGCTTAGTAAAAATAATAGAAAATCCCAAAATGTACGCCCTTAGGACAACAGGTCAATGAAGTGGAATGAAGCGGATTGATACGTTTGTTTCCAATCAAACCGAAACTCGCACATTCCAAGTCACTCAGCGGAACCAATTCGATTATTCATCAACATCATTGCCATGTGACTTAATGAGTTTACTATCAAGTAACTCCCTCATCTTGGCTTTCTGCAATAGTGTCACAACTCGGGACTTAATGTTTCACTACAATGACCAACTTAACGTACCTTGGATTGTCTATACTTCCTGTGGATATAGAAGACGACGATGAATCGCGCAGTGAAGATGCTATTCCAGCAAAGAAAGTAATTGAACTTTCATAACTTGAGGTTCGCTTCTTAGCATTTTCCTCAATCCCATCGCATTATGGGCATTCATTTATAATTTCCTTTTTAATTAACCCAATTTCATCATTTGTTATAGGTCTGTTTGGAATTAGAATACGGTTCTTACGAATATTCGTGCCGAAACACCCACGTAAGATGATATCTACAAGTTTCAGAGACGCGAAGAGCATCGAAAACTCTCTATTCCATTTGAATTTCGAATTCATCATCATGTTACCCGGTTTGAGATTTCATTTCACTTGACCCCCTTTTGCGTTGGACTTCTGAACTGTTGATTGAGCACACCTCTGGGAGGCTCTGAGAGTACTAATTAATTAATTTTATTGAGGGTTTGAGTTTTATCACTTATCCCCCCCTTTTTGCAGTCACTTCATAGTAATACATATCTAAGCAGGTAAAATTATCAATTTTTTATTTTCATAATTTTTGCTATTTATCCGTTTGCCAATGACGGCAGAGGTTTACCCAAAATGCGCTCAAAGTCTGTCCATTTCTCCTCAACTATATGACATTTATTGCATCCCTATTTTATTTTACGCAATAACGGCAAATCCAAAAAGGCTTTCTAACATTATCTGGAAAATTCCTATTGAAATAGTCGGAGTTTGTATTGCTTATTTCCTCTTTTGAGTAAAATTTTTACACACTTCCTTTACCTATCATCCTTCATAGCTCGGTATTTCCTCATAAAACGTATGATCCCCTTAAGAGGTTAACAGGGCCTTTGAGGTGTGAGGAGGCAATGAATTAGGGTTAGGGCTGGGGCTAGGCGCATATTGAGCAAATGAAAGTGATTGAGAGGGGATGGGGGGTGGGGGTGGAGGAGGAGAATCGGGAGGTAGGAGGAACGCTTTAGTATTAAGACAGGGCCACATGAGTTGTGGGTGCATGTGAGGTGAAGGTGAGGCTATTGGCAGACTTCACATCCTTTGTTCACTGATGTGTAATTGACAGGAGTAGTGTATGAGTCAATGGGTACGTAATATATGGAGAGATCTAGTGGGGCATATGAGTCTGAGTGCTCAGGTGCAATAAATGCATTTATATGACAAATTAGGCATTATTTAGTTGCGTATTCAAAAACATAAGTTATATTGAAATTTCTGCTCCACTTTCATTGCAATTTGGAAAAAAAATTATCATACGCCTTTAAATGAACAACATTTAGTGCTCAAAGCGACAGAATTATCGATTTTGAATTCCTCTATGCCTTTTTATTAACCTCGCCAGAATCGAACCTTACGCCATCCCCTAAGACCTCGATCGATTTGCAAATTCGTGAACTTCAAACTCTTTTCAAGATATTTTCTCCATACTAGACATAGATTTTATTTCAATTTAACTTTACCAGATTAGGTTCACATAGAAATCACAACTACTGTTCCTCCACTAAAGCGAAATAACCAAGATTGATTTGATTATAAGCTACATTACGTGTCAAAACCTCGCTCTTTTCCAACGTGGTTAATCATTTCATTTTGATAAACTTATAATTCACGCGAATGTTTAGAATCAAATAAATGTGAAGGGCTGCACACTGAGAAAACGATGGTAAAATTTCATAATTGATTCCCTAGGATTGTGTCTAGACAAGCCACCCATTATTTCAGGCGCGGCTTCACGTCAACAGCAGAGGCTACGCTGTGGCACGTAACAGTAACTTTGTATCATGGTATGACTGCTCAACGGAATTACAATGAAAGAGCTGAAACTGTCAGACCGATAGTAACCAAGTGAAATAGCTATCAATGTGTTTGAGTCACCACCTCCTTGCCAAAAATGTCGAACAGCATACCATCTTATTATTGAATCATGAAGTTTGAGTTCAACGATAATGTCGAATACTATAGAGGTCCGAGTTCAAATCAATACTCGAGAACTAAGTGGTAAAGGCCACCAAATCTTTTCTCGGTAGTTTGAGACATTGCAAGAGAATATATAAGTTTAAATCGCATTTCAGACCAATAGCGACTACTAATTATTTCTAAATTAACTTTTGTTTAAACTTTTTATTGAAACAATAAGTACATAAGGAATATGCTCCCTCGCATTAAAAGGTGGTCAATTTGCTTACCTCAACCGTGAATTTTGTTGACTTAAAGATATTGGCGATAAGATATTTATTTTATCATTTAATAGTTTGATTCGTCTTTCGTTCTTTTAATTCATAATTTAATTCGAAGAATAATAGGTTATTTTGAGTTATTATGAATAGTTTTTTTCCCATTATAAATTAAAACAATTCTTGGAAATCAATAATTAAAATATGAAGGTTTTATATAATTTATACATTAATTTAAATAAATTTAAAAGTAAATTGCAATAATTTTCATTTTGATTATTACTTCCTCATTATTTCTAAATTTCCTTGAGAACTCAAGCGAACTCGTTTCCAATTGTGAAAATACCATTACCTGATTATCAAAATTCTTTGTTTCATTCATTCTATTTACAATTCATAAATCTCAAAGTAAGGAGCACGAATTCACAAATTTAAATCTACTTACTTGAAATAGATAATAAATTAACTGCAGCCTATTTGGATAATGTATTGTTCACATTTCTGGTTATTATTTATTTATTATTAGTAGATAAATATATATAAATTTTTATTGATATTATTTATTTATGTATATAACTTATGTTAGCGACTTGTTGTACCTATTAACAGTTAGATTGATCGGTGAGGCTTGTCAAGATCTCCCGGTTTCAGTCCCTGAACTTTATTTACGAAAAATCGGACACTACAAAATTTATTCCGTGCCCATTTAACTAATAATCCATGTTTATTTGCTTAACAAAGTGTTTTTCATCGTGTTATCTAATTAAATTCCAACTAAATGTTACCATTGATTTTTTATGTGCGTCTAAGTAGTAGCATAAATATTACTAGCTAAATGAACACTAAACAGGGATAATGTTTAAAAGCAATCGCTGTAACTTGAACACACGATATTGAAACCATAAATCAATCTACTAACTTTTATTATTACTATTATTACAAAGCGCTGATGTAAATTTGACACATCATATATCAAATACACAATACGTTACGCAAATTGAATGGCAGATGAATTAGCGCGCGGAAAGCCTATGGGGACAGTTGTTCATTTTAAACAAAGTAACTCCTAAGGGGCAATGCTCCACAGGCAATTGAATTGAACAAGGTAGAAGATAGGAAGGCCAGAGTAGACATCGCAAAAACAACCAATCTTGGAGATTTATGATTGGTCATGCACTTCAGAAGTACTTCTGGCGGTTTTTCAATGAATTGAACAATTTTCCACTAAACAAATCGAATTTGCATCTATTCTTGGCTCTTTCTAGCAGAGTGATATTTGATTTTGGTGGGTGTGCTGCCATATGAATAGTGTTTGCAATCAGTAAAGCAGTATTCCAGGGGGCATACAAATTCGTCATCTGTTCTGGAGTTATCAACTCGGTGTCGGGCTTTACCACAGGCAAAAGCTGATTTTTTGGTTTTTGAATAAAGTTCTCTTCTTCTCTGCATGCCATAGGAGTTGTATCAAAGTCACTTGAACTACCAGCCGATAGTTCTGTGAGTTCTGTAAGTTCGCTATTTTCTTTAAAATGCTCTTTTGAAATGGCGTTTGTGGCTTTGGATACTATACAACCATTTCTTGCCTCCACTACGACTCCATCGTGGAAATCAGTGCCAACTGCCGCATATCTAGCTAAATTCCATCTTATTCCTCCAGATTGGGGTCTCAACACCGTGCTTTCATCTTCGGAGGTTTCTGCATCGGATAACAGACTTGTATCAAACAATTTAACGCCTCCTAAATAGGCCTTGAATCGCTTTCCGCTTTTTAATGGCATTGTTTGCTTATTAACGCCCCAAAGTGAATGACTGACGAACAGGAGAAGTACTGTTTTCGAATTTTTAATTATGCAAACTTGCGAATTAAGCATGGCAACGCATGTGAAAGGCACGATGAGCATTTTCATGTGACTTTAGATATGCTCCAAGGGTCCGTTTATGAGAATGGCTCGATAAACATGGCTGTTGAAATGACAATAGGTTAATGAAGTGTTAACTATTCAAATGTTTCCTTTGTTAATTCGGCAGCAGTTATTATTAATTGTTCACCTTATGATATGTTACAATAGGTCATATTCCCGGAGGGCGTACTTAACATAGAAAACCTGGCGGATTCTTATTGTGAAAAGGTAATGCAAAACTTTTTATTTCCAATTTTGAAAAAATAATCTAACAATGAAGAGATGAAAAAGTTTTAATGGAGGGGGGGGGGGGGGGAAGGGATCAAGAGAAGNGGGGGGAGGAAGGGATCAAGAGAAGTTAGGATCTAGAGGGGGGGGGGATAGTCAAATTCATTTATATTCTGCTTCGATTAGACTGAACATAATTTATGTAATGGCGATGTCACACTGGCGCAACTTCCATTTCTTCGAAATTTCAAATTGTCCTCTCTTTTCCTAGACGCTTTGATATATTTCTACAGATTAAGCGTAGAACTTATTGTTCATTCAGTTAACTAATTAGTTAGTTTGCTAGGTCATATAAGTTTATTATAATGGCCTTCTCTAATGGCCAAGAGGACAGGACCATGCTACACATTATGACTTTCGCATGGTAGGCATCAAGTAGAGTGCATTAATGACGAACCCCAAAAGTTTAAGCATTAAAATACTAACTGCATCATGCATTATTTATACCAAACGGCAGGCGTTTTGATAGTTATCATTAGCACTTTAGTTGACTTCAGGCTCCACAGAGGGGAAGGAACATCAGAGGGAAAAAAGTCGAGAGTGGGGGGTGGAATAGAAGAGTATTCCAAAGATGTAAAAGAGATAGACACAAAGGTAGAAAAAATGTGAGGCGAGTAATGTGAAAGTAGTCGAATATGACATACAGTGGGGTGATGGTAGCTTAAAGTGAGAAGTCGACTGCCGGTTTAGAGCCTTTTCTTGCCACATGAGTATACGTTGCCCAGGGTGCATCACGTAGAGGTAAGTCTATCGCACACCCCATGCATTATAAGTGTGTAGAAACTAGAACTGGTGCCACAAGTTGAAGCAGTTTTTTTTGACTGACGATTTGGGCACAGAGTCATCACAGATATGCCTAATTAATGCATTTTCTGATTTAAGTTCTAAATACAATGCTAATTTTTAACTAGCAAATATGCTAGTTTTAAACCCTGGATTAATTCGCTAACCAGATGCCTAGCGCCAGCTGCTTTAGTACCCTGGATATTTACTAGCGATTAGCATTCACTTTGATGTTAACTATTAAGACCAGAATATCTAAGATAGTAGGGGACAAATATCGAATATATATCCCGATAAAACATTTGTGGGCCAAAATCGGTTCAAGTAACCCAACCAAAGGTACTCTAACCCTTTAACGCTTAATTTACTTTTTGAAAAAGGCACCCAAACGCACTCATGCGTGCCACACAGCAGACCGATGCTGCCGACGTGATGAGTTTTGGTGGTGTATCAGGCGAAGGCTACATAGACCCGTATTGAATGTGTTTCAAATGACAATAGCGCCTTCTGTTACGCGTCTAGTACCAATGAAGCTTCTTTTGAAAGAGGACCAAGCGGTCCCGAAGGGCGTTAAAGGGACAACAATGTCTGGTGTGACGGAGCATGCAAAATTTTGATGCATGCACAGCAGGTTTCAAAGATGAATTTTAACCAAAGACGGTTGCTATATGGTATGGATCAAAATTACTTGCAAAAAGTATTACTGAATGTTAAAAAGGAAAGAGTACATTTATAGCAACAACAGGATTAATCACTCAATTAACTTACTCGGCTAGCAAGTTTTGAACACCGTAGTTGTTTATGGAAACATCATGAGGCTTTCAAACAGCACTTATTAAGTAATTACCAGAAAACGTAGTGTATTTAAATGTAAATTCATCCTTATTACTTGCTTTCATGGTCTATTCAAACTCTTCGGAATAACTTTGTTGAAAATTATTCATTGTGTTCAAGGAATTCGCCAATATCTCAAATTAGAGTTCAGCTTTCCACCTTTAATTTTATATTACCATCATTTAAATTTGTTCCTCTGGTAATATAGTATAAGAAGGCCTAGTTCTCCTAAAGTAAGTTATTACTCTAATGAAATTCACAATTTAAGTGTAATAAAAGATAAATTAAGCGTACAACTAAAATACACAGCTAGGATTGTCATTATACATATAGTTATTTCATTATTTTTCATAAAACTCATCCAAAATAGGAGATTGATTTTCTATTATTTTGAGAAGGAAGTTTAATGGTTAAGGATGTTGATATTTGAGAAGTGCAGTGACAGAAGGTCTTTCACAAGTGGATGAAACATGCTTAATCAGAATGGCAGAGAATTAGGTTCGCAATAAATTGGAATAAATACATTGACAAGCATTGGCATAACTTATATTCAAAAGTCTGAAATGGAGGAATTCCGAATATGAATGTCACGGATGAATCAAGTTTAATTAAAGCCTCGTTAGCTTAAAGAGTAAATGGTACTTACAAGCCATATGCCTCGGTAGGTTTATTAAACCAAAGCATGAAAAACAAACCAATTTGTTTATTTGAAATGATCAATCGGATAATTTTGAAAGATAGTTCATCAGTAACGATGAATTCCAAATGAGTGCTTAGGGACTAAATCCTAAGACTTAAGACGCATCGCAGTGATTTATTGCTACTAAGAAATAGGAACAATCAAGAGTTTGACTGATCTGAAATAGGATATCTCTTAAATGCATACTCCACTTCTAATCAACTACTTTGTCTCTCAAGACCTCTTATTGTTCAACAAGTTTAACTTGATTTGATTCAAAGTTGATTGCTTAAATAGAGCTTCAATGGGCAAGGAAATAACACCTTTGTTAAAGGCATTCACCATGGCAACGACTGTAGGCCCAATCTAACCCAGGTATACACATCGGAATCTATTCTATCAGGCCAAGTTCCAGAGAGTTCAGAGGTCAGGAAAAATAGAAGGCTAAATACAAATATCTGACAACCATTTTCACAAGTTCTTGAAGTGCGGCAGGAGCCGAATTCTTCTGCAACCACACTTATGGCCTATTATTGGCTACTCTTAGTTCATTATCAAATTCTTTATAGCAACACTGGCTGGCAATTCCACGAAAGTATCTGAATTCAAATTAAGTTAGCTTTAAAAGTTTTGAATGAAATATCACACCACCTTTGGTGGAAGTGGACACATATTTAAGGACCATAATCGTTTAGGCAAACATAATCTCCTCGACTTGAGGAGTTTACTTTGGACTACATGTAAGCCATCCGTTATTCTTAGCCTTGTGTCATCGATCTTGGTAAAAAATGTCTCTCGTAGGAAAGGTCCCGATTATGTATGTTCCATCAGCATGTCTCACATTGCTCAGAAGTTTGTCCGCCTTGGTCGGGAAATTCTTATTGGCAGTTTTAGATTTAAGGGGTGAAGGATTTTTATTGAGCTAATCACCTCTATGACGACAAAACTCCAATTACGATCCCAGGGTACGCAATCAAATCAAATGATCTCGTACGTTGCCTTTTTCTGGCCGCCACTGCAATTATGTAGTCAATGTTGAATTCTTAGCACGGTTTTGAGGAGCTTACAATACTTATTTATTTATTCATATCAAATGGCAGGCGTTTTAATAGTTACCATTGGCCCTTTAGCAGACTTCGGACTTTACAGAGAGGAGAAGGAACATCAAAGTGACAAAAGTGGAGAGGTGGTTGGACAGAATAATGATTCATAGATGTAACAGAGACAGACACAAAGGCAGAGAAAAGGTAAAATGAGTTTTATGGAAGAGGTCGAATATGACATACAGTGGGTTCATGGCAGTTTGAAGTCAGAAGTCAAATGTCGGTTTATAGACTTTTTTTGTCGTATGAGTATACGTTGCCCAAGGTGAACCACGTGGAGGTGAGTCTATCGCTCACAATACTATGATACCATAATTAAGAAAATATCTTCATATTGACTAATAGAGGCGTTTTCTTTTTAGCTCACACGAGCACTCGTGTTTAGTTTATGGTGATTTGAACTCAAGACCTCATATTCTTTTTCTTTAAAGCTTCTATTTTCGACAAGTCCATGGCCACCTCTTTAATCGCCAATCAGCCCTTGTATTTAATACTACCACTTATTTAAGCCTACTAGGTTACCTTTAGCCTACCTCGAGTGTCCGTTAAAACACTTTTTGTCCTAAACGTAGTGGAGTCAATTATCTTTACATACCAGCATTTTGCTTACATAAGACTGGCAATTTAATGAATTCTGCTATCCCATCTCAGGCTCTAAGATTAGATATTGAATTATGTGAAAATCGCAGTTGGCACAGGGAAACACCAATCGCGTATCGCAATAACTTATGACCTTGGCGTGTTCAGCAACAGATCCTTCCTCTCTAACCCCCCCCCCGCTCTGCCCCTACTAATTTGAGTATTGTTCTGCTCATTTGTGATTGACGTCTATATCGCTAGCCATAACAAAATTCTGCCCGAGTTTATGTGATTTTGATGCTTCTGTCTATAAAATTTACGTAAGTAACAGAGGTTATTGAAGTTTCATTGCTTTTCCCCGAGTAAATTCGTTTACATTTGTTTGCCAATTCCAATCTGGTTATGAATTATTACTCTTTAATTTTGCATAAAAAACTATGCCAATGTTAATTGTATTAAAGAGATGGAACAAAATAATAATCGGTTCAACAAATGCTAAAACGGCGAAGGTCAAACAGATGTAGAGGGTGTCAACTAGGTGACCAAATAGTCATGACTGCGATTAAGCCTATCTTATAATGGTCATTCTTTGAAATAATAAATTTTAATTG